CTCAGGGTTGTGAGTTCAAGCCTCACACTGGGCAAAAAAAAATCTTAAAAAAAAAAAAAAATCTCAAAAAAAAATTAAAAAAAAAAAAAGATTATGTTTGGGGATACTGTAACTATAGTGAGGGTTTTATTTGTAGAACATCTGGTTCTAGGCCTTAGTGCTCTGTCTGTAAGATTCAGAGAGTAAAGATTGCAGGGGGAAAAGTTTGAAAGACTTGTTTAAAAACAGATTTTTGGGAGAGAGAAGGGGGCCAGTGGACACACACACACACACACACACACAATAAGCCCAAACTGAAAGTAATTAAACAAATAGGAATCTGTTAAACCTGAAAAGCCCAAATTAATCAAAATTCAAATTAATTTTTTTTTAATGTCACCTAGCAGAGGGCTTTTAATGTGGAATAAGTTTAATGGTTTAAACAGGCATCTGGGTATATAGCATTCTTGTTCCAAGCACTGCCACTGATAACTCTTTGATTAACCTGTCACAAATAATACTTTTAGAGCAGGAAAAGAATTAAACTGAGTAACATTTATGTAAAATGATATGAGATCATTAGATGAGAAGTAGTTGTGGAAGTATAGATTGGATTGGGTGTTTTTATGGAATCAGGAAAAACCTGATATTTTCTTAGAATATAATTACTGTTTGAAGATTAAGCTGCTACTTAAACACTATCCAAATTATTTTCAGTTGAAAGTAAAGTAATGCACTACTGTGGTAGATCAAAAACCAGGGATGATATCCTTCTTTTCTCTGTGTTTTTAAGAACAGACTTAAATTCCTTATTTTTCTGGTAACTTATTTTTGCTCAAAGAAACTAATTACATATTAGGAACGTGAAGTGATTTTTTAAGTAGGTAAAATTTTAGAGAAAATGCAGTTATCTTTGTGAGGAGTTTCTGTTGTGAAGAAACAAATTACAATTCATAAAGAGTTCAGTACTTTGAAACATCTCAACGATCTGGCTTGTTTTTAAAAAAGAAAGCTACAACTGGAATGATGGGGTAAGTTAAGCTTGAGTAAGTGTAAGGTTGGTTAGTGAGCAGCTCTTCGGCTTTCAGGCTATTAGCAAAGCATACTCTGAGGTTCCCTAGGAGACTGTTGCCTCAGTGAAATGCCAGGGATATTAAGGCTTTTTAAAATCTTTAACTTCTACCCAAATAGTTTTTAGCCTTTTTGTGGCATTTGACCCAACATACTGCTAGTGTTGTTTCTCCTTCTCTTACTTTCTCTTTTATGTAAAGGAGCTTCCTTATGGTCTAGCGCTTTATGGTTTTACCCTATTATTTGGCATGAGTCTTCTTTATTTTTCAGAATGGCTTTGACATACCAGTGGCAACATTTTGCAAAATTTAACTGCGTGGATTAAAGCACATAGTACTGGTGGAGGATGGGAAAATCAACCTTTGTTTTTAAGTCACCTACCCCAGTTGTAGTTTTCCAAAGGTTGCTTTGTATCCTGTTTATTTATATACACACACAGGGGAAGATAGACATTGAAGTTGTTTAAACAAACAAAAATCCCTATCCTCTGAGTAAATGTACATGTTAGTAGGTGTTTTAAACAGTATTTTTTTTTCTTTTCTCTCTTTTTTTTTTAAGATTTTATTTATTTGAGAGAGAGAAAGCGAGAGAGAGCATGAAGGGAGGGAAGGGGCAGAAGGAGAAGCGGGCTTCCCGCGGAGCAGGGAGCCTGACAAGGGGCTCGATCCCAGGACCCTGGGATCATGACCTGAGCCGAAGGCAGACGCTTAACGACTGAGCCACCCAGGCACCACCCCCTAAACTGTAACTTCCTAATTACTTAATTGGTTAAAAGATTGCTATAGATTGTCACTATATAATTGGGAGGCATACCGTAGTATAACACTTTTATCACGTGTGGTACATTCATTATTTCCTAATTCCAGTCTTTGTTCCTTTTTCCTTTTGCTCTTTTAAAAAATATCAGGGGCTCCTGGGTGGCTCAGTCAGTTCAGTGTCTGATTTCAGCTCAGGTCATGGTCTCAGGGTCCGGGATCGAGCCCCGCATCAGGCTTCCCATTTGGTGGGGAGTCTGCTTGTGTCTCTACCTCTGCCCTTCCTCCTGCTCTCTCCCTCTCTCTCCCTCTCTCAAATAAGTAAATAAAATCTTATCAAAGAAAAACATACCAGAGATATTCTGTATAGTTCAGATAATGTATGAGGCCACTGCTTAAAACAGTTACTTTTGTGAGGAAGAACCCAACGTGGTAGTAACAAGAGCACTAAACTGAGCATATATCAAATTAATGAGAATTAGTATATTAACTGAGGGGCCTGTTGCTTTTTATTCATTTAAATAATTTAGGGGCGCCTGGGTGGCACAGTGGGGTAGGTGCCCAACTCTTGGTTTTGGCTCAGGTCATGATCTCAGGGTCATGAGATCAAGCCCTGTGTCGGGCTCTGCGCTCATTGTAGAGTCTGCTTAGGACTCTCACTCCCTCTGCTCCACTCCCCCTCCCCCCGCCTCACTTGCTGTCTCTCAAATAAATGAATCTTAAAAAAATTTTTTTTAAATATGAAGTAAAATTGTATTATAAATCTCACATGGATTTGTCAGAGTTTTGGTGAGTTGATGGCATGGCTTTATGTCTAGCCACCGTTTAAGGCATTATTTTCATAATGATGTGATTTTTGATATGTTATTTTTGTGTACTTACCAATATTGTTAACTTTTCCTAGATATTACAGAAGTTTTTGAGAAATTCTTAGCAAATTATGCAGATACGATGTCAGAAGACATTTATTTTCATCTATTACAGCAGGTCTTATACTCAAAGAATTGCAAGGTTTAGTTGGCCCAGCTTTCTAAAGCTATTATCTAAACAGAGTGGCCAAGACATGAATATAAGTGACAAAGCATATTTAGTGCCTGAAATATAGTAGGCACTTAGTGAATATCTGTTGATTGAATGAAGTAAGATTTAATAAATGTATAGAGATATTGATATAGATAAACCTGTATCTACAGATTTATTTGTATATAAATATAATGGATAGCATTTATGCCCCGCTCACACTATCCTGGTTCTTTCAGTTTTACTGTAATTGGAGGGAAATCAATAAGCCGTCCATTCCTGTTCTTCTTGGAGACTGTGTATTCACAGCTGTCAGTGACACTTTCTTTGGCAGTGCGAATGTTCTCATCTGTGCATGCAGCACGTGGCCGCTACCCATGTGTGCCTCCTGAGCACTTGAAGGATGGCTAGTGGTGCTAATAAGGAACGGAGTTTTTAATTTATTTGATTTGAATTAAGTTAAATAGCCACATCAGTTGAAGTTCTGATATTCTCTATACCTCATTTTATCATATAGTTTGAACGTTTAAACCTATACCTCTGTTAAACTTTAACTTTTTATCAGAAGTTGCGCAGTAAGAAAATGGAGGTTTCGGGGCGCCTGGGTGGCTCAGTTGGTTAAGCGGCTGCCTTCGGCTCAGGTCATGATCCTGGGGTCCCAGGATCGAGTCCCGCGTCGGGCTCCCTGCTCGGCGGGGAGTCTGCTTCTCCCTCTGACCCTACCCCCTCTCGTGCTCTCTCTCCCATTCTCTCTCTCAAATGAATAAATAAAATCTTAAAAAAAAAAAAAATGGAGGGTTCTTTTTTTTTTTTTTTAAGATTTTATTTATTTATTTGACAGAGACAGAGATAATGAGTACAGGAACACAAGCAGCGGGAGTGGGAGAGGGAGAAGCAGGCCTCCCGCCGAGCAGGGAGCCTGACGTGGGACTCGATCCCAGGACCCTGAGATCACGACCTGAGCCGAAGGCAGACGCTTAATGACTGAGCCACCCAGGCGCCCGAAAATGGAGGTTTCTTAAGGATGTTTTTTCCTGGGATGCCTGGATGGCTCAGTCTTTTAGCGTCTGCCTTCGGCTCGGGTCGTGATCCTGGGGTCCTGGGATCGAGCCCCACGTCAGGCTCCCTGCTTGGCGGGAAGCCTGCTTCTCCCTCTCCCACTCCCCCTGCTTGTGTTCCCTCTCTCACTGTGTCTCTCTCTGTCAAATAAATAAAATCTTAAAAAAAAAAAAAAGATGTTTTTTCCTAGGGCGCCTGGGTGTCTCAGTCGGTTAAGCGTCTGCCTTGGGCTTAGGTCATGATCCCGGGGTCCTGGGATCAAGCCCCACATCACATCTTCATCTCCGCATCAGGCTCTCTGCCCAGCGGGGAACCTGCGTCTCCCTCTCCCTCTGCCGCTCCGCCTGCTGTGTCTCTCTATGTGTCAAATAAATAAAATCTTTAAAAAAAAAAAAAGTTCTTTCCTTTCCTTAACTACCACCTAATGCAGGTGCTAATAAATGTAGTATCCTGGGGCGCCTGGATGGCTCAGTCGTTAAGCGGCTGCCTTCGGCTCAGGTCGTGATCCCAGGGTCCTGGGATCGAGCCCCGCATCGGGCTCCCTGCACCACAGGGAAGCCTGCTTCTCCCTCTCCTACTCCCCCTGCTTGTGTTCCCTCTCTCGCTATGTCTCTCTCTGTCAAATAAATAAATAAAATCTTTTAAAAAAAATAATAAAATAAAAAAATAAATGTAGTATCCATCTAAAAGATGGATTGCAGGGTTGGAGGGAGTCAAAGGACTAGGATAATCCCAATTCAAAATAAGTGTTGCTACAATTGTTGGAGGTGGCTGTTGCATAGTTGAATTGGCTGTGTAGTTCTTGGGACTAGAAATGTTGCCTTTCTGTCCTGCCACTAAACTAATTGAAGTGAGAGCATGAATCATTTAAACTCCATGAGTTTCTATTACCTGTATAAAATAACTATTAAGATATGGCTTTTTTCAGCTTTAACAAGAGAGATTCAGCTGAAAGAAAAGCACTGTATACATTTCAAAGGTTATAGGCTTATAAAGAAAGACATCTTTTGTAATATATTCAGGGGATCATTGTTCTATTGCTATAGGGTTACCAAGTTTCCATTGCCCATGAAGGTTTAACTAAGTGGGTCAAACCTCTCTACTGTGAATTTCTATCTCTATAATGGTTACAAAAGTAGTCTTTTAGGATACCTGTTTTTGTAACCAACTTTGAAATCCAAACTAAGGGTGGAAATTGATTTTTTTCACTGCTTCCAGAAATACTTTATGGCGGGCAGGAGGAGGGTGCAGGGAGAGTGAGGCATTATTTCTAAATTTTAAAGTGATTTATAGGAAGTTTGGCTAGTTCAGAAGTACCTGAAGTTATCTAAACATTTACATCTATTAACCCTGTAGGTGATACAGGTAACTGCTTTTAAAGATTATTTAAATCATTGTGGTTGCATCAGTTAAGGGGCTTGTTAGGATATCAACACTATCTTCTGAAACTTAGAAATATTTGATGTCTTGGTTGTTACATGAGGTAGCAAGAAGAGACTCAAAATGGAGAGAACATGGGAGTTAAGAATTTTGTCATAATCAAGGCCTAACTAACCGTCCTCATTGAATGCTGTGCTCAGCTTAAGGCTGGATGTTTTGTGGGACCCAATAAATGGAATGAATGTTGAGTCTTTAGAACAGTTATGGAGCAGCACCCTAGAGTGAAGACTTTGGACATTAGTGAGACAAATCTCTTCTCTCTTCTCTCCCCCTCCTGCTCTGTATTACTGTGCAGGGCGATGTTGGGCTCGCTATGGGTAAACTATATGGAAATGACTTCAGCCAAACTACCATCTCTCGCTTTGAAGCCTTGAACCTCAGCTTTAAGAACATGTGCAAGCTAAAGCCACTTTTGGAGAAGTGGCTAAATGATGCAGGTGAGTGGATACGTAAGACACTTCCTCACTGTCCAGCGGAGTTTTACGGGACGTTGTTTACACTCGGGGTTATGTTTCCTATTGCATTATTGGTCCTTCAGAACACTGAAGCTCACTAATGTTGGGAGGATCAATATAAATTATGACTTCATAAATTAGAGAGTAATTCACTCAAATCTAGTAATTACAGTGTACACAATGAGCAATAATTTTTAGCCTTGGAATATTTCTTGTATTTGAGCCAGGGTTAGGGATAGTTGAAGGACGAGGATAAGAAGTCCTATGTATTTAGATACACTTAAAAAACAAATTTATAGGTGCTTCCTTGATGAATTATCATAAACTTATTATTGATCATATTTCTGCTTTTGTTATTAAAAATGACCACATATTTCATACATAAAAAGTTGAGCTGCTAGTTTTAACTTAGGTCTTTTGTACTGAGATTTCCTTTTGGAAAATTTGGATTTTGAGTCACAGAATCATAGACTGTGAGAGCTGTAAGGAACCACAGAGATCTCCTAGACTGTGGTTCTCATTGTAGATGGAAACAAAAGTCAGGTCTTTGGAAAAGACAGACCTCTAATACCCACCCTTGGACAGTCTGCTTCCATAGCTCTGGATGAGGCCTCAACATCTGTAATAATCTTAACTGAGTTCCACAGGTGAGAACATCTCATTTTACATAGAGTGCAAAGAAACGCAGAGATGTCTGTGACATGACCAGGGTCATTAGACTATTAAATGACTGAACCTTTTTTAAACTTTAAAGAATTTAGAAAGATCTATGGTAGTGAATGCTGTTTTAATGTAGGTTCTGAAAACCCTTCCGTGCTTGCTTTTAACTTAACATATTTTGGTCAGTTTTGTTGTCATTAATATATGTATCATACGCATGAATCATGCTCCACTAACTTGATTTCTGTGTTTTCTTCTTTCTTACAGAGAACCTCTCATCTGATTCAGGTCTCTCCAGCCCAAGTGCCCTAAATTCTCCAGGGCTGGGAATGGAGGGCTTGAACCGTAGGAGGAAGAAACGCACCAGCATAGAGACCAACATCCGTGTGGCCTTAGAGAAGAGTTTCTTGGAGGTTAGTCAAGTTTTTACTTTTCACATACATGTGATTGTGTAATATTAGGTGCTGTAGGTGATAAAAGATGGACTTGCCAGCCTCGGTCCTTACAGATGCTTATAACATAGTGGAGAACAGTAGACAAAGCCAGTTACTGAACCTCAGAAACAGACCCAGAGTATTTCAGGGTTCGGGAGAGTCCACGCTCACATCCGTGTGAGCCCCAGTGTGACAGGCAGCAGCTGCCCTGGGGTACATCGGAACAGGCCGGGAGAAGTGGGAGGAAAGCACTAGAAGCAGAGGAAATGCACAAGCAAGGGCATCCAGGGAGGAAAAACCATGAGGTAGATCCGGCGACACACAAATAGTTTGGTTTGACTAAATTCTAGTGTCTGTGTGCCTAGAATAGTCGTTTGGGACTAGAACACTACAGGCTTTGGAGGTCTAACAGCTATTTGGTCTCTTGTTTGTTTGTTATTGCCCCGGGAAGATCACAGAGCTTCCAGTAAAATTTTGACTTCTCTAATTTAGAAAAGACTTGAGCACAGTGGAAGGAACATTAAATCAGGAATCTTTATCCATTCTACCACTTTTATTAACTGTGTGATTGGTCAAGTTACTTGATTTCTTATGCTAAAGTCCCTTCACCTGCTATTCCTGCCCATCGGCTTATTGCCTACCTCATTGTCCTAGCGAAAGCATGTGCATGGAGCACTGAGAAACTCTTACATTCCTACTAATATATAAAGTTACATTGATTATTAATTTTATTTGAGATTAATAGCCCTTAAGGAAAAAAAATAAATATTCAAGAATAACTTATTCTTGGGGCACCTGGGTGGCTCAGTCGGTTAAGCGTCTGCCTTCGGCTCAGGTCATGATCCCAGGATCCTGGGATCGAGTACCGCATCGGGCTCCTTGCTTAGCGGGGAGCCTGCTTCTCCCTCTGCTGCTCCCCCTGCTTGTACTCTCCCTCTCTCTCTGACAAATAAAATTGTTTAAAAAAAAAGAATAGCTTATTCTTAGTTAATATGAATAAGTTTAATAAATATATGTTCATTAGAATGTTTATCTATAGAAGTTCTTTGTTAAAAGTGGGCCAATATGGTCCTATATATCCCAACTTCATTCTCTGATTTGTCCCTCCCCATTTATATATTTATGCCAGTAGTTTAAAAAGTTAAGCCCCCCCAAAAAAATTTTTTTTAATTAAAATAATAAAAAGGTATTCCAAAAGATGATTTTTTTTTTTCCCTTTAGAATCAAAAGCCTACCTCGGAAGAGATCACCATGATTGCTGATCAGCTCAGTATGGAAAAGGAGGTGATTCGTGTTTGGTTTTGTAACCGCCGCCAGAAAGAAAAAAGAATCAACCCACCAAGCAGTGGTGGGACCAGCAGTTCACCTATCAAAGCAATTTTCCCCAGTCCAACCTCACTGGTAAGGATAAAAAGTGGAGGATGCAAGCTCAAGGACTAATTTTTATAATTTTACAAATGATCTATGAAATAGACTTATTTCATAATAGTAATGTATTGTATATATATATTCATGTTGAGTAAGTATATATAAATTTGTATTTTAAATGTTACTAAAGTGGGATGCCTGGGTGGCTCAGTTGGTTAAGCATCTGCCTTCGGCTTAGGTTGTGATTGAGTCCTGCATTGGTCTCCCTGCTCAGCAGGGAGCCTGCTTCTCCCCTGCTTGTGTTCTCTCTCTCTCTCTCTCTCTGACAAATAAATAAATAAAAACTAAAAAAAAAAAAAGTTTAAAAAAAAATAAATGTTATTAAAGTAATTAAATCTCATGTTGTCATTAAGCTAAGAACTTACTGATCTTTCTTTTTTAAAGTGAACAATTTTAATTCTTTCCTGTTTCATGGTGGCTCCATTATTCTCTTCTTTGATGTAGTTTATTAGGTTACTCTGTAACTGTGGGAGCAGATTTGCTAGATTCCAGTCACCTAAAAAAAATCCTTAGTTGCTTTTTATTCGTGTTGGGTTTTTGGGTTTTTTGTTGTTGTTGTTTCATTTGTTTTGTTTTGTTTGTGGAGGGGGAGGAAGAGGGAGAGAATTCAAGCAGACTCCCCACTCAGCACAGATCTGATGCAGGGCTCAGTCTCACAACCCTGAGATCATGACCTGAGCCGAAATCAAGAGTCGAACGCTTAACCGGCTAAGCCACCCAGGGGTCCCTATATTCATGTTGGGTTTTAAAGCCCCGTTTATTAAACTTACATGAGGAAGTGACAGTAAATTCCCAGATAACCTTTAGCTCTGAACTTGTATGAATTCAGCCATCTCACATCTTCACTCGCAAACATTATGTAGGACCATTCATTGATAACCTCATTGAGTAACTTCCACCCATTGCTTTGGAATAGTATTCTATACTGAGGGGACATGCAGCGGTCATGTACTCCCTTGATCTTAAGAATGATGGCAAATGTGACTCTGTATTTCCAACCAGGATTCCACAGATGATAAGTTTGCATTTCTGATCTTCCCTTGTTAATTTGTTTTTATTGTATTTGAATATCATTCTATACTGGGATGCTTTTTAAACTAAAGTCATCATTAAGAGCACGTACTGGTTGTTAAGGGAAGGCTGTGGTTGTTGAATGGTTGGGCTTTAATCATGAAGCTCATGACATAGTAGTTATGAAAAAGACAGTCATTAGATCCGGTTCTGTTTTATGTAGATGGCTATTTTGTGTTTTGGATTTATTTGTACTAAAAGGAAACAAAAAGTATTTCTTACAAAACTGTAGAAGTATTTTATGTTACTTCAAAAAGAAACTGTCAGCTCTTTAAAATTTTGCTCCGCATTCTTTCCATAATATCGTTCATTAAAAACAAAAACAAGATAGTCATGTCCCCACATGACCAAAAATAAAAGCAATCCAAGAATCCCTGATTCTCTGATCCTATTGAATAGTTTTCTTGTGTAGATTAAATTGATAATTAGTATAATATTCCTTACTTACTTGGAGTATATCTTACTCAACAGCATTGAAATTTAGGAATGTTTTTTATTTCTTTTTAAAACCTGGGCAAAACCATTTCTCCTATCAGAGAAAAACCATCTTCTAATAGCAGCCTTTGAACGTATGTCTATTTTCTCAATTCTAAGATCAAAAGATGATTATAAAATTATTTCCTCTTAGCCCCTTTTAATTCTGTTGTGTCTGGAATTTAAAATTTTTTATAGGGAAAATACATCTTCAGTATTGATTTGAATTTTTTGATTTTTTAAAAATGCTTTCGCATATTTTCATTTCTGACCTCTAGGTGGCAACCACGCCAAGCCTTGTGACGAGCAGTGCGGCCACGACCCTCACGGTCAATCCGGTCCTCCCTCTGAGCAGCGCTGCGGTGACCAACCTCTCTGTTACAGGTATGTAGCCGCCGGGCCATGCAGCTGGCCTGCAGACGGTAGGCCCATGACACGTCTCTCTGAGAACTGTGAATTAAATTGCGAATTAAGGCTCTAAACTAGAAATACGTATTGCTTTTTTTGAAAAGTCATATATGAAAACCTGAACTCCAAAAAACAGGCATAATTAATTTTGTCAGAAAGAATACTTTCACATAAAGGTTTTCTTATCTGTTTTGTTCTTTCCCACCTTACTCTTATCTTCTACATTGTTCCCAGACTTACCTTTCAAAACTCCCACCTTTTTTTCAAGTAACTCCTTAAAAACCTTCAGTGGCTACAGCTTTTTATATTCAGGAAAGCATCCAAATTCATCATCAGTTCATAGAAGGTTATTAATCTGGATCTAATCTCCCACTAATCTTTTCTCCCTTCCATCCTCAACACGCAGGAAGATTCCATCCATGCCTTTGTAAACATCCCCACTGCACTTCTTTCCAATAGCAATGAAACTACCAGCACAGGCATCAATTCTTTCTAGAAATACTCTTCAGCTTTCCCAGGAAACTGTTCATTTCCACCTGCCTGTATTATAAATGATTATATTTGTATACTTTTGTCTTTTCCAATAGACTTTGCACTTCTCAAAAGGTCTGAATATTCTTTTTGCAATCTCAGTGTCTAGTGCCTGACACATTCACTATAAAATGAATAATTTTTTTTTCCTTTGGCCTCCTTTAAAGTAGCACATTTCCCAATAGCACATTTAAAATAACTGTGTTGTCATCAGAAGTTTTTTAATGATATATGATGAATAAGGCATTCTGTAATTATTCACCAGGTTGATTATGTGCTAGTAAACCCTCGAATGGATTTGTGGTATTTCACAGTCAAGCTTGAATTTAACCTAAAGTTGAGGAATTTGATTGTCTTCACTCATGTTTTCAGTTTGTATAACACTTCTTTGGTTCTGTGATCTAATTGAATGGCTTTATATAGTTATTAAATTTCTAAGTTGTTAGGAAATCTCATGATTTTGTTGATTTATTTAGAGTAGCACTCTTTTTTTTTTTTTTTTTTAAAGTAGGCTTAAAGTGGAGCCCAGTGCAGGGCTTGAACTCACTACCCTGAGATCAAGACCTGAGCTGAGATCAAGAGTCAGGTGCTTAACCAGTTGAGCCACCTAGGCACCCCTAGAATAGTGCTTTTCGACCTTTTTGGGTTTTAGAGCTCCTGAAAAATTTGATGAAAGCTTTAAATTTTCCCCTCACAAAATAGACATACCCACAATTTTTAGCAAAATATAAGGAGGTTCATAAAGGACAGCTCCCATCAGTCTCCACCTCACCGGGGACATTTTTGGATGCCTTAGGAGTAGAAATTGTAAGTTAAGAACCCCCGTGTTTGAGAGTGTATAGTATTTAGCACTTCGAGGTAGTACGCAAACTGTTGGTGGTTGGTTGCTGTTGTTTTGGGCACTAGAAAGTGGATATCCGGCCTTTAAGGAACTCACTGTCCACCCTGCCTGCCATCATCTGTTAAATTATAAACTAAACTTTTCCTTCCCAACAAATTATAAGTCATATTATATTAGGCCTAAAGATAACCATCTTTTGCAGAACAATTTCTTATAGTTCAAATAGAACTTAATATAATGGGTAGCTTTGCAGATTTTCTAAAAATGTGGCAAAAATCTGAAACAGAAGGTAATTTTTAGGAGATACACATACTCAAAACTTGCTGAAAATTTTCAATCAGTTTTTGATGGTACTAATTGACCAGTGACATTTTCCGGAACTCAGTTGCTCAGCCCGTTTATGTGCATTTAATTATAACTGTTTTCTAAAATGTTGGTAACTGGGGTGCTTTGGTGGGTCAGACGGTTAAGCTCAGGGTTTTGTTTGTTTGTTTGTTTGTTTTAAAGATTTTATTTATTTATTTGACAGAGAGATAGCAAGAACAAGAACACAAGCAGGGGGAGTGGGAGAGGGAGAAGCAGGCTTCCCGCTGAGCAGGGAGCCCAACGCAGGACTCGATCCCAGGACCCTGGGATCATGACCTGAGCTGAAGGGAGACGCTTAACGACTGAGCCACCTAGGCGCCCCTCAGCTCAGGTCTTGATCTCAGAGTTGTGAGTTCAAGCCTCCCGTGGAGCCTACTTAAAAACAATAAATAAAAAATAAAAATTGAAGTGTTGGTAACTTTTTTGGAATGAATTTTTTCTTTGGTTCTTAAAAAAATTGAACATTATCAGAAACAAATAAGAAAAATAATCACAATGAGCTATTTTTATTTTGCCTTTAAATCTTTTATATATATGTACAGTTCTAATAGTGTTTAGTGTGTCCCACTTTTTTTTTTTTACTTATTTTATAAGTGTCATCCCCTGTTATAGTTTTCACATTTCTACTTTTGATTTGCCCTTATTGTATTAAATGGTTGTATCAGAATTTTGTAAACATTTCCATATAGTGCCATCATAGCTCAGTTTTACCTAGAATGACCAGCTTTTTCAGTTTGAGTCCTACAAATCTTACCTCCCAAGAAACCCCGCAGTCTCTGAACCACATAACTGGTCTTGCTTGTTCAATATGGTATCCTTCATGTCTAGCACACCACCTAGAATGTAAGATACTCAGTAACTAATTATTAAAGGAATGAAGTTTTCACTATTATAAATAATGCTATAGTGAGGACCTTTGTACATACTTACTACTTTTAATTCTTTATTTTTATGTAATTTCAGATTTACAGAAAAGTTATAAGAATAGTTCAGAGAAATCCCACATCTCTTCCCTTAGATTCTCCAAATGAGAAAATCTTATGTATTTGATTTTCTCTCCTTTTTTTCTTTCTGTTTCCCTTTCTGTATATGTGATGTTTTTCTGAACAGTTTTCAGAGCAAGTTGTGGACATGCTACTTTATCCCTATGTCACTGTGTATTTTCTAAAAAACAAGAAATTACCACATATAGCCAGAATACAGTTATCAAAAATCAGAAAATTAACATTGACTCAGTCCTAATATCTAGTAAAAATTCACATTCATATTTTGCCAGATGTGCCAGTAATGTCTCTTATAGCAAAAGAAAATCTTAAGAAAAAAAAGAAGAAGAAGAAGAAGGTAGTCGCAGGGGAAGAATGAAGCGGGGGAAATCGGAGGGGTAGACGAACCATGAGAGACGATGGACTCTGAAAAACAAACTGAGGGTTCTAGAGGGGAGGGGGGTGGGAGAATGGGTTAGCCTGGTGGTGGGTATTGAGGAGGGCACATTCTGCATGGAGCACTGGGTGTTATGCACAATGAATCATGGAACACTTCATCTAAAACTAATGATGTAATGTATGGGGATTAACATAAGAAAAAAAAAAGAAAATCTTAAATCATGCATTGCATTCAGTTGCTGTGTCTCTTTAGTTTTCTTAAATTGGGGACAATATGAGTCTTGCTTTGTATTTTAGGACATTGATTTTCTGAGGAATATAGCTGTTTATTTTGTAGATGTGTTGTCTGACGTTTACTCATGATTAGATTCAGATTATGCACTTTGGGCAAGAAGACCACGGAAGTGCGTCGAGTCCTCCTTTGTGCTTGGTATGGACACACATGCTATTGATTAGTCCCACTACTGGTGGTATTAACTTTGATAATTTTATTAAGGTAGTATATGTCAGGGTTTTTCATTGTGTAGTTATTATTTTACTCTTCACAGCTCGCAAATGGGGAATTTGAGACTATACAGATATCCTGGGTTTTTGTTTTTTTTGTTTTTTTGGGGTTTTTTTCCAAACCTTTGCCCACTAGTGTCCATTGATGATTTTTGTATGGATCTATTATTATGATTCTCAAATAATTCTATCATTTCTTCTACATTCATTAGTTGCCTTTCACCTGTAAGGATGCGCTTTTCCTTTTCCTCTATTTATCTGTCTATATTAGTATGGACTCAGACATTGTTTCTGTATTCAGTAAGTTAGAATCCTACTATCACTTTTTATTTTAATGTTCAAATTGTTCTTCATTTTGCCAGTGGGAGCCCCTTGGTGGTGGCTCCTGTGCTTTTTCGACATGTCCCTAACATTCTTTGAGTGCTTCCTTATTTTTTGGCACAAGATGTTCAACCTCATCTTAAAGTTTCTCTGCTCCAGGCCTGGAATCAGCCATTTTTTCAAGGATCCCTAGTTCTTTTTAGTGAGGAAAGGTATGTAGACACCAAGATCTAGATGCATTTATTGATACTGTGTTGTCATTAATGCTAGAACATCTCGATAGAAATATACATACATTAGTATGTGTGTTTGGATAGACACATGTAAATTTATTATTATTGCATATCTATATGCATTTTTCTTTACCTACTTTTATTAAAATCCATGAGTTCATACTGATATCTCCAATTCCAGCCCAGCACCCTGTAGTTTATTCTTTTCTATCCATACCTTTTTCCATATGTTAACTCCCTTCACAGTGACAATGAGCAACCTGGCTCCTATTATCAACAATATCGTTACTTAATTGCTCAATCTATAGTGAAAACAAAGTGGTTTCAAAATTGCTAACCCATGCCTCTAAACAGAAAAGGCCTACTAATTTGAGTTCCATGTTTGTTTAGAGTTCTTGTCTTTAACCTGAAGGCATAAAGTCCAAATTCTGTGTTCAGAAGTTGTTTGGATTAGTTATTTCTCTATCCTCTTCAGTGTAGTTACATTATTCATTTGAAATTCAGTTGGTTTTGCTTGTATTCAGTATTAGTGTTCTTCCTCTCATCCTTGTGATTTTTTTTTTTTTAAGTATATGAGATAATAGCGTATCATCAAACATTGGTTTCAAAAGTCAGGACTGTACAGAAAGTTCTCTTCAGAATAATGTCATTCCCTTCTATTGTAATTCTCTTTCTCTGACAACTCTAAGCTTGGAATATCCTCAGGGCTCTGTTGAGGTGAGTAATTCTCACTTCTGTCATAGTTATCTACTGTGTCCTTCTGGACTCAAGTTGGTTTCCCTACCACCAAATTTCAAC